TTCTGGGGTCCAGGCGCTGACCATGGACTGCCACTTATGAAATCGTGAGTCAAAATGAATAAACTTCAAGTTGTTTATTCCAAGTATTTTTGTCACAGCTACAGGAAGAGAACACATGGCCCAGTTAGCTAATTAGCATACAGGTTACCTTGCATAGTTATTTTGTGGTAAGATCACTTAAAATCTACTCAGTGGTTTTTCTCACCACAATCAGTTGTTATTAACTGTAGTTGCCATGTCGTACCGTAGACCTTTGGAATTATTCCTCTTATCTAGTAGAAATTTTGTATCTCTGATCAACATCTCCCCCAGCCCCTAGTAATCACCATTCTACTTTCTACTTCTGAGTTCAGCTTATTTAGATCTCGCATACAATTGAGATCATACTAGATGCCATTTTGTGCCCCACTTAATTTTCATTTAAGATAATGTCCTCCAGGTTCATTCATGTCACAAATGACAAGATTTTCTTTTTTATGGCTGAGTAGTATTCCATTATGTGTATGTACCATATTTTTTTTATCCCTTCATCCATGGTGGACACTTAGGTTGATTCCATAATCTTGGATATCTTAAATAATGCTGCATTTCTTCAACATAATGATTTCATTTTCTTTGGATATATAGTCGGGAATGGGAATGCTGAATCACATGGTGATTCTATTTTATATTAAAACAATAATTACATGAATACAGTAATAACAATTAGCTTCTTACTCTTTTCCTTAATGGTGGCCTAATTTACATTGTCTACCAAAACTTTGCAAAGATTTCCTTTTCTTTCATCTTTTTTGTAATACCTGCTCTAACAGATATGAAGTGATAATTTCATGGTTTAACAATTTTTCAATTCAAAATGATGAGACCAGCTCTTAATTTCCTACCACTCATCATTACACAATTTAACCTTTACATATGTCTGAAAATGTTGGTCCTTTTTTCTCCATTGGATCAGAGCATTCTGTTCTGGAACTAGAGAATGGGGAAACCCTCTACAGGGGTTCCTAGGATAATCTCAGTTATCCTCCCCTCATTTTGTTCGAGTCCTGTGAACAGTATCAGGGATTTTCTGAGCTGACTAGTGATAGAAGTAATCCTGAGAGGCTGCACAGACGCTGTAGACTGGTGTAGCCAGAGGAACTCTCCACTTGTTAAACTCAAGCAGAGGACTGGGTTCCCCCACAGCTGCATCAGATCACTGCTGCTGGAACAGTCATTATGCGTAAGTATTATCCCAAAGAAAGAGGAATCAAGGAGTTCCTTTACAACCACAATCTTCAAATTCCAAAGCCAAAAAAAAAAAAAAAAGGAAATAACTTAAAAAATCCAGTAACAGGCAAATATGACAGAGTAGAATTCTCCTAGCATTTAGCAGATGTATGCACAAAACTGGAGGATTTAGGGCTGGGGTTGTGGCTCAGTGGTAGAGCGCTTGCTTAGCACATGTGAGGCGCTGGGTTTGATCCTCATCACCACATAAAAATAAAGATATTTTGTCCCCCCCCAAAAAAAAAATATATATATACATATAAATAAACAAATAAAATAAAATTTAAAAAACTGGAGGATTCATACATATATATGTATATATACTATGTACACATGATACTAGATAAATATAATTCATATAACTGAGTTGGGGGGAAGACCCACAAAAGACTAGCTAGGATCCTGCCCAAGCAGGAAAAGCAGAACACTGCAAAGGAAGAAAGTCAAACTTTAAAGAATTAAAAAAAAAATTTAAATGTTTGAAACAGTATTCTTTCTTCCCACCTCCAAATAATTCTGGTCTGACAGGGCTAAATTTTGTGTACTATAACTATTGTGCTAAAAAAATCTGATACTGATTTTTTTGGTGAATCCCACTTGGGGGAACCTTGGGGTGGCATGACAAGAGATAACTGAACTGCAGGGACGTGAGGCTGATGAGCCAGTGGCAGATGCCATTATTGAGGGCTTACAAACCACTGGGATTGCGCCAGGAACTTGACACATGTTAGTTCTAATCTTTGCAACAACTCTGTAAGGCAGGGATTATTTATTCATTTCACAGAGGAGGGAAATG